AGAGTGAGACAAGAGACTAGAGTAAGACCAGAGAGACTAGAGTGAGACCAGAGACACTAGAGTGAGAAAAGAGACTAGAGTAAGACCAGAGAGACTAGAGTGAGACCAGAGAGACTAGAGTAAGACCACCAGAGAGACTAGAGTGAGACAAGAGACTAGAGTAAAACCAGAAAGACTAAAATGAGACAAGAGAGACTAGAGTAAGACCAGAGAGACTAGAGTGAGACCAGAGACACTAGAGTAAGACCAGAGAGTTAAAGTAAGACCAGAGACTAGCGTGAGACCAGAGAGACTAGAGTAAGACCAGAGAGACTAGAGTGAGACCAGAGAGACTAGAGTAAGACCAGATAGACTAAAGTAAGACCAGAGAGACTAGAGTAAGACCAGAGAGACTAGAGTGAGACCAGAGAGACTAGAGTAAGACCAGAGAGACTAGAGTGAGACCAGAGAGACTAGAGTAAGACCACCAGAGAGACTAGAGTGAGACAAGAGACTAGAGTAAAACCAGAGAGACTAGAGTGAGACAAGAGAGACTAGAGTAAGACCAGAGAGACTAGAGTGAGACCAGAGACACTAGAGTAAGACCAGAGAGTTAAAGTAAGACCAGAGACTAGCGTGAGACCAGAGAGACTAGAGTAAGACCAGAGAGACTAGAGTGAGACCAGAGAGACTAGAGTAAGACCAGATAGACTAAAGTAAGACCAGAGAGACTAGAGTAAGACCAGAGAGACTAGAGTGAGACCAGAGAGACTAGAGTAAGACCAGAGAGACTAGAGTAGGACCAGAGAGACTAGAGTAGGACCAGAGAGACTAGCGTAGGACCAGAGAGACTAGAGTAAGACCAGAGAGACTAGAGTAAGACCAGAGAGACTAGAGTGAGACCAGAGACACTAGAGTAAGACCAGAGAGACTAGAGTAAGACCAGAGACTAGCGTGAGACCAGAGAGACTAGAGTAAGACCAGAGAGACTAGAGTGAGACCAGAGAGACTAGAGTAAGACCAGACTAGAGTGAGACCAGAGAGACTAGAGTAAGACCAGAGAGACTAGAGTGAGACAAGAGACTAGAGTAAGACCAGAGAGACTAGAGTGAGACAAGAGACTAGAGTAAGACAAGAGACTAGAGTAAGACCAGAGAGACTAGAGTAAGACCAGAGAGACTAGAGTAAGACCAGACTAGAGTGAGACCAGAGAGACTAGAGTAAGACCAGAGAGACTAGATTGAGACCAGAGAGACTAGAGACCAGAGAGACTAGAGTAAGACCAGAGAGACTAGAGAACAGAGGGACTAGAGTGAGACCAGAGAGACTAGAGTGAGACCAGAGAGACTAGAGTGAGACCAGAGAGACTAGAGTGAGACCAGAGAGACTAGAGTGAGACTAGAGAGACTATAGACCAGAGAGACTAGAGTGAGACCAGAGACTAGTGTAAGACCAGAGAGACTAGAGTGAGACCAGAGAGACTAGAGTGAGACTAGAGAGACTATAGACCAGAGAGACTAGAGTGAGACCAGAGAGACTAGAGAGACTAGAGTAAGACCAGAGAGACTAGAGAGACTAGAGTAAGACCAGAGAGACTAGAGTGAGACCAGAGAGACTAGAGTGAGAGCAGAGAGACTAGAGTGAGACTAGAGAGACTAGAGACCAGAGAGACTAGAGTGAGACCAGAGAGACTACAGTGAGACCAGAGAGACTACAGTGAGACCAGAGACTACAGTGAGATTACAGTGAGACCAGTGAGACTACAGTGAGACCAGAGAGACTACAGTGAGACCAGAGAGACTAAAGTGAGACCAGAGAGAGACTAGAGAGAGACCAGAGAGAGACCAGAGAGAGACTAGAGAGAGACCAGAGAGAGACCAAAGAGAGACCAGAGAGAGACCAGAGAGAGACCAGAGAGAGACCAGAGAGAGACTAGAGAGAGACTAGAGAGAGACTAGAGAGACCAGAGAGAGACTAGAGTGAGACCAGAGAGAGACTAGAGTGAGACCAGAGAGAGACTAGAGAGAGACCAGAGAGAGACCAGAGAGAGACCAGAGAGAGACCAGAGAGAGACCAGAGAGAGACCAGAGAGAGACCAGAGAGAGACTAGAGTGAGACCGGAGAGAGACTAGAGTGAGACCAGAGAGAGACTAGAGTGAGACCAGACAGAGACCAGAGAGAGACTAGAGAGAGACTAGAGAGAGACTAGAGAGACCAGAGAGAGACTAGAGTGAGACCAGAGAGAGACCAGAGAGAGAGACTAGAGAGAGACTAGAGAGACCAGAGAGAGACTAGAGTGAGACCAGACAGAGACCAGAGAGAGACTAGAGTGAGACCAGAGAGAGACTAGAGTGAGACCAGAGAGAGACTAGAGTGAGACCAGAGAGAGACCAGAGAGAGACTAGAGTGAGACCAGAGAGAGACTAGAGAGAGACCAGAGAGAGACTAGAGAGAGACTAGAGTGAGACCAGAGCGGGATCAGAGAGAGACCATAAAGAGAGACCAGACAGAGATTAGAGAGACCAAAGAGAGAGACAAGAGAGAGACCAGAAAAATAGACCAGAGAGAGACTAGAGTGAGACCAGAGAGAGACTAGAGACAGACAAAAGAGGCCAAAGAGAGACACCAGAGTTCTTTGCCTGATTTCTATAAAAAGCACTTTGTAATTTGTAGCTGGAAAAGTCCAATAGAAATCAAACCATAACTATTATACTATTATAATTCTGTCCTCGCTCCGCCCTGACATGCCCGTATATGGTCGCATCCTGTTTGTTTTCCGTTTGGGTAACAGTCCCTCTCTCTCTCTCTCTCCCCCGTCTCCCCCTGTCGCTCGCCCACGTCCCTGACTGCAAATAGCGCCTGAGCTTCAGTGGATGCATTTAGCCGCCGTCACAGATCCACGACCAGCGGCGCCCGCGGAGGTAAACACGGCTCTTCTTTACGCTACAGCAGGAAGCAGATCTATTCAGAGTGGAAATGTGTTCATATGTGATTTTACATGACATGGAAGAAGAGAGAAAGATCATTCAGACTGAGATTTTCCTTCTTAAAGCTGCGGTACGCTGCAGAAAGAGATTAAAACAATGTCAAAAAAAAGATGTTTCTATATTTGAGCAGGTTTTCACTGCCTTTAAGAAAGATTTAGTCATGGGAGAATGAGTAAAAACAAGAAACGTCTCCCTTGGAATGAGAAAATAAAGTTCTTGAAATAAGACTAAATGGTTTTGTCCTAACGGCAAATCTTGTCAAAATGTGCTCAGATTATAAAAAACACTTGATTCCAACGTTTATAATCTCATGTTTGATCATTTTTCACAGTTTATCGCTAGTTCCTCGCACTCAAAGAGGTTTGGTTCAATCACACATTTTCACATGCCTCTAGAACCAGGAAGTACCATCACATTAGTCCAGACTAGAACCAGGAAGTACCATCACAATAGTCCAGACTAGAACCAGGAAGTACCATCACATTAGTCCAGACTAGAACCAGGAAGTACCATCACATTAGTCCTGACTAGATCCAGGAAGTACCATCACAATAGTCCAGACTAGAACCAGGAAGTACCATCACAATAGTCCAGACTAGAACCAGGAAGTACCATCACATTAGTCCAGACTAGAACCAGGAAGTACCATCACATTAGTCCAGACTAGAGCCAGGAAGTACCATCACATTAGTCCAGACTAGATCCAGGAAGCTCTGTTTGGTACAAACATGTTAGAGCCAGTTGAACCAACTCTGAGGAGCACAGGGACTGGCCTCCTGCTGGGACTCTGAGGAGCACAGGGACTGGCCTCCTGCTGGGACTCTGAGGAGCACAGGGACTGGCCTCCTGCTGGGACTCTGAGGAGCACAGGGACTGGCCTCCTGCTGGTCCCAGAGTCAGGACTAAACATGGGGGAAGGCAGCGTTTCAGGGGTCTACAGCTGAAATCTATTTTTTTTTAAAACAGAAATCTCACCATCTAAATATAGTCACTGTACAATTCAGAATAAAGTTTTTTAAAACGTCCAGAGAGACCAAAGAGAAAAGACCAGAGAGACAGCAGAGACCAGAGAGAGAGACCAGAGAGACAGCAGAGACCAGAGAGAGAGACCAGAGAGACACCAGAGACCAGAGAGAGAGACCAGAGAGACACCAGAGACCAGAGAGAGAGACCAGACAGACATTAGCGAGAGACTAGACCAGTTGGAGACCAGAGAGACATCAGAGAGAGAGACCAGTTGGAGACCAGAGAGACATCAGAGAGAGAGACCAGTTGGAGACCAGAGAGACATCAGAGAGAGAGACCAGTTGGAGACCAGAGAGACATCAGAGAGAGAGACCAGTTGGAGACCAGAGAGACATCAGAGAGAGAGACCAGTTGGAGACCAGAGAGACATCAGAGAGAGAGACCAGTTGGAGACCAGAGAGACATCAGAGAGAGAGACCAGTTGGAGACCAGAGAGACATCAGAGAGAGAGACCAGTTGGAGACCAGAGAGACATCAGAGAGAGAGACCAGTTGGAGACCAGAGAGACATCAGAGAGAGAGACCAGTTGGAGACCAGAGAGACATCAGAGAGAGAGAGACCAGTTGGAGACCAGAGAGACATCAGAGAGAGAGAGACCAGTTGGAGACCAGAGAGACATCAGAGAGAGAGACCAGTTGGAGACCAGAGAGACATCAGAGAGAGAGAGACCAGTTGGAGACCAGAGAGACATCAGAGAGAGAGACCAGTTGGAGACCAGAGAGACATCAGAGAGAGAGAGACCAGTTGGAGACCAGAGAGACATCAGAGAGAGAGAGACCAGTTGGAGACCAGAGAGACATCAGAGAGAGAGACCAGTTGGAGACCAGAGAGACATCAGAGAGAGAGAGACCAGTTGGAGACCAGAGAGACATCAGAGAGAGAGAGACCAGAAAGAGATGGTCACTGTACGATTCAAAGTTATTCAAACGTGTTTCTTGGTTTGACTCCAACCTGTGCATTTATGGTCCGTGTGACTCCAGTTTAATTCACAGTATAAATATCTCTGACCTACTTCTGCTGCTGTCGAGGAGCAGGATCTTTCACCTCCATGACGGATGATACTGACGGATGATACTGACGGATGACACTGACGGATGATACTGACGGGTGACACTGACGGGTGACACTGACGGGTGACACTGACGGGTGACACTGACGGGTGACACGCAGCAGCACCTTTGGGAGACCGGTTCATCACACACTGTTTAAATGAGCTCCAGCCAAAGTCAAAGCTGGAGGGATGACGGCTCTGAGCTTTGGTGGAAAAACATGAAAGAAAATTGCAATAATCTGTGCCTTTCTGAAGCGATGAAGTCTTATCCAGGGAAAAAGACTCGGATATCTGCTCCCACTGGTGTCTGCTGCCGTTGTGTCCCAGGGCAAGACACTTAACCCCGCTTTGCCTGAAGCCCCGAAAGACCGAGGCTGTGTTTTTGATAACTCTGTGGACCCACCAGCTTCAGGAGGATCAGCGAGGACTGTCATTCATGGACATTGGTCAACGCCCTATGGACCAATACATACAGCTCAGAGCAAAAGTTTGGACACATATCCACATTCAAAGAGTTTTTTATTTTCATGATTATCAAAATTGTAGATTGACACTGAAGGCATCAAGACTATGAATTAACTCATGTGGAATTATGTACGAACTAAAAAAAAAAGTATGAAACAAGTGCAAATATGTGTTATATTCTGGTTCTTCAAAGTAGCTCCTTTTGCTCTGATACTGCTTCACTCTTGGCATTCTCTGGATGAGCTTCAAGAGGACCTGAAATGGTCTCTAACAGTCTTGAAGGAGTTCCCAGGATGCTTAGCACTTGTTGGCCCCTTCACTCTGTGGTCCAGCCCCAAAACCATCTGGACTGGGTTCAGGTCCAAAACCATCTGGACTGGGTTCAGGTCCGGTGACTGTGGAGTCCAGGTCATGTGGCCCAGCACCATCTCTCTCCTTATTGGTCAAACAGCCCTTTCCCAGCCTGGTGTGGGTCTACAGTCAATAGTTATGAAAAGAAAGTGTGTCCAAACTTTTGGTCTGTACTGTATGTGCTCAATTTTTTTAGTCTTTCAACTGTTGATTCTCTGATCTGTGTTGGCAATTTCAACGGTTTGGCTAAGCCCTCTGAGATATCTACTGTTGTGATTTAGGGCGATACAAGAATGAATTGAGTTGAATTGAATCGACTGGTGCTTTGAGACTTGAGTGGCAGCTCCCCCCGACCCAGAAATAGACATGACAAAAAACTCAGATAAATGTGGATTCAATATTAACTTTGTCCTTACGAAAAGACGTTCAATCTACACAGGCTAACTCTTGAACTTGAGGAACAAAGTCTAAATCAAGAGTTTCCGTCTAAAGGAAAGTTAAAACACTAATAATGATAATACTACATTTTGTTTATGGTTCTTTCTGGGATCTCAAGGTCAGTTTAGAAAAGGTACGAGGTTAAAAGCAAAAGATTTTAATAGAAACGTGAAGCGCTGGAGCTGAGGAAAAACCTGGACTAATTCAGGTTTTATCAAAGTGAGACGTTTTAATGGAATTTCTTATGTAGAAGATTAGCTATAATGAAGTACAGGACTGTTCTACACCGGATACACACACAGAGACACACACACAGAGACACACACACAGACACACACACACATACACACACACAGAGACACACACACACAGACACACACATAGAGAGACAGACACACACACACACACACAGAAAGACAGACAGACAGACGGATATACACACACGCACACAGAGACACGCACACACACAAATATACACACACACACAGACACACACACACACACATAGAGAGACAGACAGACAGAAACATGCGCACAGACAGATATACATACAGACAGACACAGACACACACACATTCACACATAAGGACAGACACACACACAAACATACAGAGACACACACACACACACACACACACACACACCACACAAACATACACACACACCGACAGATACAGACACACACACACTTGTGAACTGCCCATAGACTGTATAAAGATGGACAATGCTAACCCGCTAGCTCAATTAAAACGACAGATGAACCCAATGCTATCTACAGAAGCTGTGTGTTTGAAGACAGCCTCTCGCATCAGCAAAGACAGGGGCGTGTCCAGTCCACACAAAACACATCCATAAATACTGGGACTTTAATCCCATCCATCCAGCACTGGCAACATTATTCATATCCCTCTTTGTCTCACTGCATTTTTTGAAGTTTGTCAGTATTAAAAGCACGAGCGAAAATAGCAGCTGACTCAGACCGGGCTCCTCCAACACCAGCCCACACACACACGCACCATAAAGGACCATAGAGGACCATAGACGTGCGAGATGAGGGGGGTGGGGGGGGGGGGGGGGGGGGGGGTGAGAGTCCATGTCGTTTGTATGCTAAAATGAGTGTGACATTACATGTTAGAGAGAGAGTTAGAGAGAGAGAGAGAGAGAGAGAGAGAGAGAGAGAGAGAGAGAGAGAGAGACCAGTGAAGAGATCAGAGAATGACAAGAGAGAGACCAGAAAAAGACTTAGAGAGTGACCAGAGAGAAACGTGAAAGAGACCAGAGGGAGACTAGAGAGAGAGACCAGAGAGAGAGACCAGAGAGAGACCAGAGAGAGAGACCAGAGAGAGAAACCAGAGAGAGAGACCAGAGAGAGACCAGAGAGAGACCAGAGAGAGACCAGAGAGAGACCAGACAGAGAGAGACCAGAGAGAGAGAGACCAGAGAGAAACCAGAGAGAGACCAGAGAGAGACCAGAGAGAGACCAAAGAGAAAACAGAGAGAGACCAGAGACAGACCAGAGAGAGAGAGACCAGGGAGAGACCAGAGAGAGAGACCAGAGAGAGACCAAAGAGAAAACAGAGAGAGACCAGAGACAGACCAGAGAGAGAGAGACCAGGGAGAGACCAGAGAGAGAGACCAGAGAGAGAGACCAGAAAAAGACTTAGAGAGGGACCAGAGAGAGAGTCCAAAGAGAAAGTAGAGAGTGACCAGAGAGAAACGTGAAAGAGACCAGAGGGAGACTAGAGAGAGACCAGAGAGAGAGACCAGACAGAGAGAGAGAACAGAGGGAGACCAGAGAGAGAGACCAGAGAGAGACCAGAGAGAGACAAGAGAGAGACCAGGGAGAGACCATAGAGAGACCAGAGAGAGAGAGACCAGAGAGAGACCAGAGAGAGACCAGAGAGAGAGACCAGAGAGAAACCAGAGAGAGAGACCAGAGAGAGACCAAAGAGAAAACAGAGAGAGACCAGAGACAGACCAGGGAGAGACCAGAGAGAGAGACCAGGGAGAGACCAGAGAGAGAGACCAGAGAGAGACCAGAGAGAGAGACCAGGGAGAGACCAGAGAGAGAGACCAGAGAGAGACCAGAGAGAGAGACCAGAGAGAGACCAGAGAGAGAGACCAGGGAGAGACCAGAGAGAGACCAGACAGAGAGAGAACAGAGGGAGACCAGAGAGAGACAAACCTCTGAAATACAAAAGTCACTCAAGTTTTCTCCTGACTTAAAATAAAAGTGTCATGTTATACTAACAGTTATAATGCCCACTTTACACCAGTATTTTAAACTTTTCACAATAACATTCAAAGTCTCACATCGTCCGTGGTCATTTGTGTTGCCGCGAAAGACTTTTAACGACTCCAGCCACGACTCAGCATTAATCCAGACCACGACACGCAATTATCTCAGGAGACAAACAGGTCTAAGACAAAACTCGACCAGGAGGTATGAGTCATAGTAGGATTAAAGTCTTCATTCATCACAGTTTACCTCAGAATGGGTAGAAAAGACATCATGAAAGACACATCTGGACTGTATGGGGATTTTACCATCAAAATCTGTAACACTACAAGAGTCCAATTGTCTGGTGTTGTTGTGTCCTTAGGCAAGACACTTCACCCCCATTGCCTAGAATGAGTCTGGTGTGTGTGTGTGTGGTTGGTGGTGGTGCATTATTATTATTATTATTATATTATGGTCCCGGCTGGATTCGTCTGCATATCTGGCAACCTGAGTCAGGGAGAGTGGGAGAGGCTGCAGTACCATTTATGGCCAGATTTTTGTGGCCAGTAAAAGAAAACGTGCTGTACCGATGCATGAATGGGAACTTTCTTTGGCGTGACCAGAGCAGAAGTCAAACTCACGTCTCGGTCTTGTACGTGGAGCATCTCTCCAGGGGGATCTTCAGGACCCGATCGCTCAGTCCCACAAATAGGGAGCGGTCGCTGTGGAGGATCTGCAGGCTCAGGATTGGCTGGCGGAGACCAGAGGGCAGCAGCTCCATCTCCTCCAGGTAGCAGCCCTGCAGACGCTTGTTGGGCGTGGCCAGAGCCTTGAGGATGGAGCCGTATTCTGGGTGTGGGATAAAAAGAATGGATTAGGCCAGAGAGAGGCCAGAGGGAGACCACAGAGAGACTAGAGAGAGACTAGAGAGACTAGAGAGAGAGAGACCAGAGCAAGAGAGACCAAAGAGAGACCAGAGAGAGACCAGGGAGAGACCAGAGAGGGAGAAACCAGAGAGAGACCAGAGAGAGACCAGAGAGAGAGGCCAGGTGGATACCAGAGAGACTATGGAAAGACTAGAGAGACTAGAGAGAGAGAGACTAGAGAGAGAGAGACCAGAGAGACAGACCAGAGAGAGAGACCAGAGAGAGACTAGAGAGAGAGAGACCAGAGAGACAGACCAGAGAGAGAGACCAGAGAGAGAGCAGAGAGACCCCAGAGAGAGCGACCAGAGAGAGCAGAGAGACCCCAGAGAGAGCGACCAGAGGAAGCGACCAGAGAAAAAGACCAGAGAGAGACCAGTGAGAGACCAGAGAAAGAGAAACCAGAGAGAGAGACCAGAGAGACTAGAGAGAGACAAGAGAGGGACTAGAGAGAGAACAGAGAGAGATCAGAGAGAGACCAGAGAGAGAGACCAGAGAGACTAGAGAGAGACAAGAGAGGGACTAGAGAGAGAACAGAGAGAGACCAAATAGAGACCAGAGAGAGACCAAATATAGAGACCAGAGAGAGTCCAAATAGAGACCGGAGAGAGAGACCAGAGAGAGACCAGACAAAGACCAGACAGAGACCAGACAGAGACGAGAGAGAGACCAAGGCCAGAGAGAGAGACGAAAGAGAGCGACCAGAGAGCGACCAGAGAGAGACCAGAGAGAGACCAAGGCCAGAGAGAGACCAGAGAGAGACCAAGGCCAGAGAGAGGCCAGAGGGAGACCACAGAGAGACTAGAGAGAGACCAGAGAGCGACCAGAGAGCGACCAGAGAGAGACCAGAGAGAGACCACAGTAAGACCAGAGAGAGAAAAGTGTCTTAGTAAAAACTGAGTAGTGAGTTGGGGAAACAGACCGGTGCTGATGTAGATGACGTGGTAGAGCGTGTCCATGCCCTGAACGATGTCGACCACGAGGCTGGAGAAGCGCACGTCGTCCTGCATCACCAGGGGGTCCGTGGTCTCCGGCTGCACCACGTCGTTCATCAGGTACAGTCTCTGCGCGTCCTGCAGGCTCCGCTCCGTCAGACCCTCGTTCGGACCTCGCTCAGAGATGGTCCCACACTGAGGAGAGCGGACGGGGGGACAGAGGCCGGGTTTTATTGACATCGGAAGCAACAGGAAGTCACAAACAAGGGAAATGTCATGGATTTTGTGTTTTATTTTGACTTTTTTTCCCCCCCGGTTTTAGTTTAGAGTTACTTCCTGTGTGTTATCTGTGTCTCTGATCCATTGTTAATGTTTATCCTGGTCCTGGGCTTGTCTGATCCATCCGTAAACTCTGGTCTATTGTCATTTCCTACATGTACGTCTGGGTCTGATCCTAGTGGCTGCAGTTTCCTCGGTTGAATCCCCACCGACCAATCAGAGACCGGGGGAGGCGGGTGTTGTAGGTCGGTGTCGGTGACGTCAAGAGTTTGTGCCAAATTTGCTGGTTGTAGTTTGTCGGAGAATGCGATAGTAAAGTAAACAGTTCTGGTTCGGCTCCAAATATCAAGAAATTGAAGCCGGAGCAAGAGGAATGTTTGGTAAATGTCATTGCTGCAAAGATGTTGTGGCTCTACTCCCCATGGGCTCCGTTAGTGGCAAAGGAGATGGCTAAAGCTAGGCTAGGCTAAATGCTAAAGCTAAATGCTAAAGCTAGGCTAAATACCTCACTCACTCGGGTGTGTTACATTACGTCACCGTAAACTCAGATCTAATCGTTTCAATCTGCAAAAGGAGTTAACCCCTCCCACCTGTTAAAGGAGCTCAAAGGAAAAAATCCAGACCGAAGTACGAAATGAAATGTGTACAATGGTGTGGTAAGACCAGGCTATTCTGTTCCTGGTTCTTTTTGCATTCTTGAGTTTGTTTTTCCATTGGACTTTTATTCATCTTCTTGAAATAAATACAGCTATTTTTTGGGGGAGGGTTAAAACCTCGGCACTGACCTGGAAGTTGTGGATGGGGTTGGGGGTGGGCAGCCAGGTGGAGCGGGGGTTTTCCTGGGACCGGAAGGGGCCGTTGAAGGCTTGTGTGATGGCGCTCAGGTTAAAGGCACAGACCGCCGACGCCGCGATGCTGTTGCTTCATGGAGACAAACAAAACACACAGAGGAAAACACACGTTAGCATCACGCTATCAATAACAGAAGACAATGTGAATAATACATGTGTTCGCTAATCTATAGAAACTCCCGGGCCATTGACTTTTCCACTGTGTCATGTACAGAAGGAAACAGACCACCTGCAAAATGGTACTTTATGGATAACACCAAACAATGCATTGTTAGAAACAGTTATTTTGAAATATTCAAATAGAAATTGATCATGAGGATTATAGTGTATTTATTTTGTTTTGATTTTAATTTTTTTTCTTTTGATTTTATTTAATATTATTTCATTTTTGCTTTTATTTAATATTATTTCATTTTTGCTTTTATTTTAATTAATTACATTTTTTTTTATTAATTTCATGAATTTAATTGTATTTATTTTATTTATTGTATTTATACATTTTTATGTATTATTATTATTTTTTATTTTTTTTAAAGTATTTTTATTATTATTTATTTGAACAGTGTTAATACTGCACAAAAGGAGTGGGCCACCCCCAAACGATGACTTTTAATGAAAGTGTCTGTTTGTAATATGCTCTAAGTGACTAAGTGAGCTCCTAAGCACTGATTACTTTTGGAAAACATCAAATTTTTGACTTAAAATTCAGTCAGCGATTTTTTCCAGATGCATTTTTTTAAAATATCGTGGGAAAACGGCCCTAAAACCCTAAAAGTAGTCAAGTAATCATGTGTTTTCAAATAGTATTGGGATTGACCAGATGCGTATAGTCTCCAAAAATTACTAAAAGGTATTTTGAAGTGGACCGATATAAATAAACCAATGGGATGCGTTTACCCCCTTCACCCTCTTCCTGTTTCTCTTCCTGAGTGTGTGCACCTGAATTATCAAATTATTTTCTAAAACTTAACAGGGCTGAACAGAAAAGGCCAATTTCACGTTTTCTGCCCACTCTCCCTGTTGTGACAAAGAAAAGAAAATGCTGGATATTTGGTTTGGTGGAGAGGCGAGGGGAGGGGGGAGTAGTTCCCAGTTGGTGCTACTGCTAAGCTAACAACATCGCTAACATGCTTCTGCAAGTGCGCACCCAAACACAAACCTCCCTCCAGCTCCTACAAAGGTTTGGTCAAAGCTCAAACATTCAGGATAAATGGACGAACACAGAACAAAAGAAGTTGCCGACGACAACGAGCGTTCATGAGCAACTTTCAACCCAGAAAAAACTTTGCTCAGACTTACCGACACTCACAAAACCATATCCTCAAATCTAATCCTGCACCGGACACAAACAGAAACAAAGACATGAAGAGATTCTGTATTGGTCCCACAGCGGGGAAATGCCAGTGTTGCATCAGCAGTTACAGAGCAGTAGGAATGAGGAACACACAGCATCTTAGACTGTCAGTCAAGCTGCGTAGGGAGTCAGTTTTCTGGGAGAAGAATGGAATCTTGAGAACTATCCTCTCATCTTCCTACTTTATCTGTCTGCCTTATTAGGATTTGAACTGTAGTCTGTTCATTGCTATCCACCTGTTGTCCCATTGTCTGTTTCATGGCGCGACAACGGGACCTCTGAACCCGGCCCAACCCGCCTGGAGCTGCTTCAGTCCCGCCCCGGACCTCCACGTTCCATAGTCTGAGTCCTGGATCTAAAGCCCGTCTGTGTGGAGCGGATCCCTCTCTCAATGTGGCTCTCCCCGAGGTTTCTCTCTTTTCTCCCGCTGGGATTTAGAGCGTTAGTGTCCAACAAGAAGGACTGTGATGATCCAGGACACTTTAACATTCTACTACATGTATGACATTTATCAACATTCATGGACATTGGTCTCTCCCTATGGTTAACTGTTGATTCTCTGATCTGTGTTGGTGATTTCAACAGTTGTGTTAAGTCCTCTGAGAAAACTACTGTTGTGATTTAGGGCGATACAAGAATACATTGAATGGAATTGTAGAGTAGCTCAGTTGGTAGAGCACTTGCCTTTGAGCCTGACTGTCGTGGGTTCGAGCCCACCATAGGACCTACTCCAACTGCTCCCACAAATGTCTACTGCCGTTGTGTCCTTGGGCAAGACACTTAACCCCATGTTGCCTGAAGCCCCTGCTGAAAAAACAAGGCTGCGTCAAGAAGCCATCTTCCTGTGGACCCACCACCTGCAGAGGATCAGAGGGACTGGTGCTATGAGCAGTGAGTGGCAGCTCTCATTGCCACCCCCCTGACCCAGAAACGATAACTCTATACTACAATAAAATACCACCTCTAACTTTAGCATAATACTACCCTGGCCTAATCCATCTGTACACTGCGCTCAATCATCATTTCACTGCATGTAACGTCTGGGCCTGGTCCCCGTCTTAGCGATTACAATCGGCTGGATTTCGACCGATCAATCAGCGAGCGCGTTGTAGGTCGATGCCGGTGACGTCAAGAGTTTGCGCCGAACGGGGAGATTGTAGTTTAGTAATGGCGAAAAATGCGATAGTAAAGTAATCCGGTCTGGTTCTATCAAGAAATTGAAGCAGGAGCAAGAGGAATGTTTAGCAAATGTAATCGCTGGTCAAGATTGTGGCGCTACTTCCCACGGGCTCCGTTAGCGGCAAAGGAGATGGCTAGGCTAAATGCTAACAACAGACTCGGGCGCACCACATTTGTGACGGTAAACTCAGATCCATCCATCCATCCATTTTCTTCTCCTTAAACCATTTCTGGGTCGGGGGGGGGGGGGGGGGGGGGCAGTCAGAGCTGCACCCACTACAAAGAGCACCAGCCCCTCACTGATCCTCCTGCAGGTGCTGAGTCCACAGGAGCTGAGATCTTTCAGTGGGGGCTTCAGGCAACGTAGGGTTAAGTGTCTTGCCCAAGGACACAACGACAGCAGTCATCAGTGGGAGTCGTGAAGTAGGTCTTGAGGTGGGCTCGAACCCACGACCTTCAGGCTCAAAGGCCAATGCTCTACCAACTGAGCTACTGTCGCCCCAACTCAGATCCAATCGCTTCAATCTGCAAAAGGAGTTAACCCCTCCCACCTGTTCACGGAGCTCAATGGAGCACCTCCAGACCTTAGTATGAAATGTAATTTGTACTACGGTGTGGTACGACCAGGCTAGCATAATACAGAAGCAAGTATAAAATGTCATAAAATCCTGTATGTTTTACTGCAATACACAGTAGTATGTTTACATCTGTACATGGAGCAGCATGAGGCCCTGCGGCAGAGTGACAGTGACACATGTGCTTCTATATTTGCACAATCTGACATCCTTCAGAGCATTACTATTGCACATATAAGTGAAATACAGTGACAGTGACACATGTGGCTTCATAGGGAGCAGATAGCGGAGCCTTCACTTCCTGCACATCTTTAGTAAACACCAGTGGACTTCAGCAGCGTGTAATCTGATGGTGCTAACATTTGTAGCCGCTCTAAACCTCCGGCTCCGTGTCCCAGAGGCTTTAGCTGCTTTAGCTTCTGTACTGTTCTCACAGAGGCTCACCCTGGACCAGCTCACAGAGACTAACCCTGGACCAGCTCACAGAGGCTCACCCTGGACCAGCTCACAGAGACTAACCCTGGACCAGTTCACAGAGGCTCACCCTGGACCAGCTCACAGAGACTAACCCTGGACCAGCTCACAGAGGCTCACCCTGGACCAGCTCACAGAGACTAACCCTGGACCAGCTCACAGAGGCTCACCCTGGACCAGCTCACAGAGACTAACCCTGGACCAGCTCACAGAGGCTCACCCTGGACCAGCTCACAGAGACTAACCCTGGACCAGCTCAGAGAGGCTAACCCTGGACCAGCTCACAGAGACTAACCCTGGACCAGCTCACAGAGGCTAACCCTGGACCAGCTCACAGAGGCTAACCCTGGACCAGCTCACAGAGGCTAACCCTGGACCAGCTCACAGAGGCTAACCCTGGACCAGTTCACAGAGGCTAACCCTGGACCAGCTCACAGAGACTAACCCTGGACCAGTTCACAGAGGCTAACCCTGGACCAGTTCACAGAGGCTAACCCTGGACCAGCTCACAGAGGCTAACCCTGGACCAGTTCACAGAGGCTAACCCTGGACCAGCTCACAGAGGCTAACCCTGGACCAGTTCACAGAGACTAACCCTGGACCAGCTCACAGAGGCTAACCCTGGACCAGCTCACAGACACTAACCCTGGACCAGTTTACAGAGGCTAACCCTGGACCAGCTCACAGAGGCTAACCCTGCACCAGCTCACAGACACTAACCCTGGACCAGTTCACAGAGGCTAACCCTGGACCAGTTCACAGAGGCTAACCCTGGACCAGCTCACAGAGGCTCACCCTGGACCAGCTCACAGAGGCTAACCCTGGACCAGCTCACAGAGGCTAACCCTGGACCAGCTCACAGAGGCTAACCCTGGACCAGTTCACAGAGACTAACCCTGGACCAGCTCACAGAGGCTAACCCTGGACCAGCTCACAGAGGCTAACCCTGGACCAGCTCACAGACACTAACCCTGGACCAGTTCACAGAGGCTAACCCTGGACCAGCTCACAGAGGCTCACCCTGGACCAGCTCACAGAGACTAACCCTGGACCAGTTCACAGAGGCTAACCCTGGACCAGTTCACAGAGGCTAACCCTGGATCAGTTCACAGAGGCTAACCCTGGACCGGGACAAGACCAGAAAGAGGAGTTTATTATTATTATGGCTATTCCCAGGCTTTTTGGACACACTACAGAGCAAAGTAATGAGATTTTTAACTGCACCGAACGACTGCTGATGCTGTTTGCTTTAGCGTTTACTGCGTGTGAGCTGAAATCACTCACCAGAGGAAGAGATGGAGGAGAAGGGGGAGATGGAGGAGATGGAGAGATGGAGAGATGGAGGAGAAGGAGGAGATGGAGAGATAGAGAGATGGAGAGATGGAGAGATGAAGAGATGGAGAGATGAGGTCTGAATAAGCCAAATGGTGTCTAACATTTAGAGGAGTCCTGAAAACCAGTCATGCTCCCATTGATGAAGATCTGCTT